TTACCCCTCTGGCCTTTCCCAAGAATAGGAATAGCTACTTTGTCCCTTGCTAGCTACTCCCCCCAGTCATCGTTTAGATCTAGACTTGCATTGTTCCAGCTGTTGTATACAGATTGTCCTTGGAAATCTCTTTTCTCTTTCAGTCCTTGACAGGGCTGTGAGCTGCTGTTTTGAGAACCGTGTGGACTGAATCTGTATTGTTATTGGTGGATAATGGTTGGGACAGACTCTGGGGCATGAGGTTCAGACGTCAAGGCTGACGCAGTGCTGGAGTTCACTTTTGCAACCATGCAATCACATGAGCATCTTTATTGAGGTTCCTTAGTGTCAGGAGAGGTTCTTTAGTGTCAGGTTTCCATCCGATGAAGTAACGCTGCTGCTTATGAAGCTTATGCTGTGCATCTCTGACTTAGATGATTTAGGTTTAGAAAGGTGCAAATCTACCCTGCCTTCTGCCAGGTTTCTTTTGCTTATTTATAGGTTCAAGATTACAGGGTACTGTCTTGGTGTGCAACTCTCTCTCTCTCACGTGTGCACATACACACTAATAATTTTGCTTCTCCACTAACTGGGATTACAAAGCAGTGTAGGTTGAAAGGATGTGAGCAGAAACAATGTGTTCTTTAGCACTGGTGCGGCTTGTTGCCAGTCTAAAGGGAGGCAGGTGCTGCTGTGTGGGCTTTGGCTGCATCAAGGTTTCTCAGAATTTTTTTTGGCATTACTGTCTCAGATCAATTGTATGCCCACAATGTTACTGTATTTAAACATGCAGAAACTAGGCCCAGCAGAAGGCCTCCATCCTCAGTGGAATTCTTTGAACAACTTCCTTATTATTCTCCATTCTGAACATGTTAAAACTGAACTGTGTCCTAGAAAGTCAATGAACTCCTCTGTATCCACAGAAAACTTTCCCACCACACCCACCTACATGCCTCCACCCTGGCCCTGACAGATCTATGCTACTGGGCAAAGGAGTGTTTAGTCATAATGACAAAGCCAGTTTTAGGCCTCTGAGAGAGTGCCAGCAAAGATTAGCATAGCTGTCCTCCTCTATATCTCACAGCATTGGAACATCCAGAGTGCAATGCACTCAGTTACTATGTTCTGTTAAGATCTTTTATGTATCCTACACTTCCCAAGGCTGCAGACCTCCCCACTTCGATGGGGAGACTTTTTAAAGGCACGAATGAGAATATGAGAATTAGGCTTTTGAGCCCCATTGCCTTTTTTCTGCTTGGGATTTGGCAACCAGTCATAGATGAGCCTGAGGCACCCTTCAAAACCCCAACCTTTGGTCTAGACTTTCAATGCATTCATTTAGGCTTGTACTTGGGCACCAAATTTCAAGAATTGCTGCAGTTGGGCAGGGAAAATCGTTTAACTGCACAGGAAACAGTCAGGTCTTGTAACTTTTGCATGCTCTTACTCAATTTGCATACACAGTCAGAAAAACTGCATGTGCATGTTAGAAATGTTGTCATGTCCCTAAAATCTAAGAACAATGGGGCCTTTTATGGCATCTGACTGGCCCTTTGTAAACTGATGTACATTGTGTTTTAGGTGTGGGATGCCCCAGAAGTAAGTATTTGCAATGCACAGATGAAAAGATGAATTTAATGAAATCTCCTGCAGTAGTCTCAAATACTTACAACATGGCAGGTTTGTGGGACTGATTATGTAATTCAGTAAACTGAGAGGGGTTCTTCCCTTTACACAACAGCAGCAGCAAGTTCTCAACCATTGCTGGATGTAGGTGTTACACGACCTTTTTTGCGGCATTCTGCAAAAATGTCCATGCGTCCTATAAATGCTTCTATTTTCCGGGCAAGCCAACATCCATTTTAAGCAGCTTCCCATATCTGTTTAACTCAGTGACCTAACCTTAGTATGGTTTCCAAAATAATTTTTGCAAAGAGCTATGGTGCCATTTGTGGCAATTTTTCATGTTATAGCTTAATTATATTTTAGTGAAATCACTCTAAATATGTCAAAGGGCTTAGGCTTCACTGAGGCCTAACTTCAATGCCAGCTTATCATTTGGAAGGAATTCATTTTAAAAAATGATGTGACCTTGAATAAAGTATCTGCAAATGCTCTTAGCTGGTGTTAACTGCTGCTTGCTCGTGTTTGGGATAGCTCACTCAAGGTCAAATGGAATTTATCAGATTTTCCCAAATGATTCACCTCTAAGTTTAAGAATAACCTGAAGGCATTTCAGGGTAACTGTGATTTCTTTTTTTTTTAAAGAAATGTGCTTGAAACCAGGTTTAGAATCAAAGTATCTTCTCTCACATACCTAGTGTATGGCAGGGGCAGCCTTGATAAATCTGTGTAAACAGCATGATGGGAGAGACAGGGAAAGGAAAATAAAAACCCAAGCAAACTAGAAGCAGTCTGGCAGATTCAGAGGACTTATTCCAGGTTCCTGCTGCTGCAGCTTATGATAAGAATTTGCCCACCAGTATTTTAAAAATCCAATAATGATTAAGAAACCCAACATGGTAGAGAGAAAGAAATAAAAAAAAGGTATGTCTTTAGTGATGCAAAGAAATGTTGCTGTTTTCTTCAGGCTAAATGTATCAGAACAGAGCATCATAAATCAAATATTCATTGCTCCCTCTGCTCATTAGCTGTGTGAAACTGACTAAACTTGAAGGTTAGTTGGTATAGTTCAGTATGATTGTTCTTGCTGCCTTGTTCTGCATCGAGAGTGTCGGCAGGCAGCCATGACTCACATACGCAGCCTGCCCCCGCTAGTTGCCAGTTTTCCATGGTTTTTTTCCCATAAGGGGAGAAGATTATGGGGTCTTGGACATCTTCTGACTTCATTAATTTTTGCCTGAACAAAGTCAAAATGTATTCAAGTGGGTCTTCTCTTTAGTGAAAGAACTGAATACAACAGTCATTGATAGAAAATATTACAGATACATTTTTATCTTAACAATGAAATATGCAATCTGTCTCAGCAAAATACAGCTGCCGAGCAAATTGATTTGCATTAGATGCTTATTGGGAACCCACAGTTCATTCTTTTGTTCTTTTCAACAGCAAATGTGTTTCTCTGACTGAGAAACAAGAATACATTGTGGCTCTAGTGCTTTTCATCAAATGATCTCAAAGCACTTTGCCAATCTTAGTGATGTGCTTAGAAGAGACAAAACATTACAAAAAATCCTGTGGAGTTGGTAGGGGGCTTTCAGCAGACAGCACCTATATAGCTTGATGCTGGGTACATTGAAAATTCAAGGCAGAGGGTGGGGGTGACGGGGAAAGGAAGAGAGAGAGAGACATGCAGTGTTATACTAATGCAGGTAATAAATGTAAGACAATATTCTTATTCCAAAAGCTTTAAAATGAGTTAGAGATTATTTCAGTTGTGCAAAATTTAATAGAATAGCATAATATGGTTAAAATAATCAAAAATACGGACATTCAAAATGAAGGTGCACCTCAGGAAGTTTGTATCTCCTATATGAAGAGATGGGTATCTCCTGGCTCTCACTGTAGGCTTCATTCTGGCCCTTTAATCAGCCCCTCCCATCCGCCAGCTGGGAATTTTCTGGATGTTCTCTGGGTTATGAGAGGCTGGTCCTGTGTTGCGAGCCTGCCCTGCCAACAACAGGGGATGGCCGTGTAGAGGATGATCAGGTGTTGTGCTTTGAGTTCTCTTTATTTTAGCTCTTCTGGGTTCTAGAGCAGCCTGTAGCTAGTTATGAAAAACTGTTACAGCTTAAAGAAGCCCCAGGGCTGCTGTCATTTGAGGCCTGGACTTGCCAAGTCTGCAGCCAAGGTCAACAAGGACGATTTGTGAAGTGTCCATTTTTGCCCTACGGTACAATTCCTTAACCAAGAATTCATTCTGCTCTGCTCCACAGGCTTCAGGATGCGCGCGCGCGCGCGCGCGCGCGCGCGTGTGTGTGTGTGTGTGTCAAGTGACACTAGATTTTGCTGGTGCAGGGGAAAGAATTCATCCCACTTTTTACTGCTGATGCCCAGGTCAAGTGGGCAAAACCTCCTGATTTTGGCAGCAAAAGCACGAGCTGAAATCTCCCCCCAGCAGCAGCAGCAAACTCCACTACCACACCAGAATACTACTAATCCCAGAGTTCCCTGAACTCTGTGACATACTTCTCCTCTCTTCCCGCCCCATCAGTTCTGGTACCCCCTCCTTAAACAGTGCCTGGAGCATGTGCCCTGCTCACCCATCCCTTCTTACAGTACTGCCTTGGCACTAGGTAGCAGAGTAGTTAAGGTGTGTCTTGCAATGGCTCTAAGGCGAGGGACAGAAATTACACATGAAGTTATAAGTGATTGGAAACAAATTAAAATCTGTAATGCAACAGAAGCTCGGTGCACATAAACCACTTTCAAAATGGACAAAACCGGTTTAAGATAAACCTGGATGGATGTAGTAGCAGACTTAACTGATTTAAGTTAAATTGGTTTATTGAACTTCTGTCCCAGATCTCTTCCAGATTCAAGTTAACTCACAGTCCCCCAGCATCCCAAGATGCTTTGCATCTCCCCTGCAATCCCCTCCCTGCCCCTGCAGAGGTGGGCAAGCTAGCCTTGGCCCAAGCTGTCTGATTTTGCTGATTAGGGAAGCGTGCTCTAGTACCCCTCAGCTTCTGACCTAGGCCACTGCAGGCATATGGCTGCATTTCTGGAATCAAAAGTGAATGTCTGTTCACTTGCTTATTGGTTCAATCTATTCAGTTTAGACTAATCTGCAGAGATTGAATTGATTCAGCCTCAGGCTTTTTGACTGTCTGTACTTAACTCAGAGGCGCAAGTCCAGAATGAGGCTCTGACTCTTGCCACAGGTTGCCCTCAGTCAACCCAGCTATAAATGGGCACCTGGTTATTCAGCCAAGGGAGTTTGAGGCAGCTGGACATGATCCCAGCCATATGGCTCCCTTGTGAGCTGTTGGTTTTAGAAACCGGTGTGCCTTCATCATGTTAGCCTGATGGGCTCTTTGAACTTTGACTATTTGTTTATATCTTCCCCTCGCCCTGTCCTGGGCTGCAGGAACTGGGCTGAGCTGCTTTAGTCCCCAAAACAGAGCTCCTAATTTGGCTCTTGTATCTCTACCCATAGTGCTTAGGCTTCTGCTTCAGCTGCCCTGTGCCTCTCATCTGCCATTCAAAATAATTTGCATCATTTACAATTTACATAATTTCAACATGAAACCAGACATCTGCTCAGGCTACAGAATATAACACGGAACAGAACACAACCTGAGCAGAGTTCTGCATTGTAGCAAAACCAGTTATGGGACTGCAAGTGTGAAACCCTCCTCCCTGCACACTGCAATTCTCAGAAAGGAGGATTTAGCATCTAGACTCAAAATTATTCACGCATCTCCCAAACTGGTCTAGCCCTCTGTGGCTGGATGCAGTTTTAATGCCATCCAAGGCAGCAGAACTCACAATGGAAATTGCTTAAGACTGGAGGGTCGCCTTGGAGCTGAAGTCCCCTGAGAACAGCCTCAGAAGTTTTGGTGCAATCAAATTGAAACCTAATCTCAGGTTTGGACTTAGACCTGAATTCCTTTCTAGTGCAACTCCATTACAGATCTGAGCATCACCTTCTGAGCCCAGCTATACATGAAATTTAGAAGATGATGAGATTTCCTTAGACATCTCCCATGGCTCTGTGTTTAACCCTGTGGGATGGCAATGAGAGAAGAGGGAGTGGTGGGATATGGCCGCAGTGCAGCTCCCCAGAAAAGAAAGAAACTTCAGCTCTCCTAAGAGATTTACATAGTGCCAGAAAAAATTATTTAAACACAAATGGGCTTATCAATATGGTTGGAAATGTTGCAGTGGTGGTGGCAGCCTGGTGTAATGTAAAAAGAACGGAGCTAATCAAACACTCACTCCATTGTGTGAGCTTGGCTGTTCATGAGACAGGTTTGTTTCTTTGGCAGGTATGCCTTTCCTTCACCTTGGAGGAGGGGGAGGGGGGAATCTAGACTCCTTTTAAATCACTGCAAAGGAAATGTCCACGTGTACTATGTACTCACTGAACAACTTCACAAGGAGCCACGTAATGTATGTATTTATTGAATGCTGTCATCAGGTGCTATAAATGTAGGTGCTACAGAGACTGGTATTTAAATTGAATTCCTATCCCTGCTACCTTTTCATGTCAAATAGCTGGGTAGGCTAGGCACTGACTGGGGAAAACCAACCAAAGCCTTGTTAACTGTGCATGCACTCAGCAACTTGCAAGGCTCCATTATCCTGTGTCAGATGTTAAGGATGTGTTGCAGGAGGCCTAAGGATAGGTTTCTCTGAGGACGCGAAGCACAAAAAACTACTGCAGACACTTCCAGTGGAAGTGCGTGGGGTATTGTGTGTAAGAAAACAGGATGAAGCCTGCAGAGAGGGAGAGTTTGAGAGAAGCTGAGTGAGTTTTGAAGGCAAAAGAGGCTAATTCCCACACAGCCTTTTGGGATTCCCATGAGCATGTGAAAATAGAAAGAAAGTAATATAAGGGGGAAACAAGTTTCCCTCAGTGTGCTTGTAGACACCTGGTTTAGATTAGATGTCCTTTTGCTGGTGAGGAAAAATATCCTTAGAAAAAGCAGGGACTATCTGTTATCATGATGGTGCCATTGCTACTCTGGAGGTTATAGCTTAAAGTCAGGATGCCTGGTTTCTTTTCTTAGCTGTGTCACAGAGTGAAGACCCTGGGAACAGCATTTTAACCTCTTGAGGTGAAGTCATGGCTACACTAAAGTTTTACCATTGTCCAATATGGCTACGATTTCCCCCTTGGTGCCTCACTTTTCTCATTTGTGAAATAAAGATAATGCTACTATTTCACTTCACAGGGGGATGTCTACATGCTCATTAATGTGCTGTAATTATGGCACATTAAGTTTAGTACCTGTAATGCACTGTAATTGGTGCGGCGTATTAGTGAAAATGAACACCTTTTGTGTGACAATGCGCACTGGATTAAATCTACTATGCATTAGCACATTAGCATGGGTTTTGCCAGTCATGTTAATGTGTAGTAGAGTTAGTCCAATGTGCATTAAGTGTCTTGTGGAGATGTACCTAGGGGGTGCATCTACATGAGGTGTTTACTGTTGAATAGACTAATTAGCTCTACAGTAAACATTGTATACCTATATATGATGCACTCCTATTAGGCCGGAGTAAACCAGTTAATTCTGCAGCAGGTTAATACTTGTAAATTCAACTACAATCCTGCTGCAGAATTTTTTACTGCACAGCAGTGCATGTATAGACACTGACCCAGCTGGCTGGGCCACAAGGGTGCTTCAGTGCAGGGGTTGCCTGACGGCTAGCTCCACACTGGAACACCCTTGTGCCCCAGCTAGCCCCTCTGCAGCATGGTGAGCTTGGGGGGGAGCAGCCCCGGGCTGGCAGGCTGACCCCTGGTGCCCCTCGCCAGGTGGGGCTGCTCCAACCTGGCTCAACGTTCTGGGATCCCAGGAGTTTATTGCTCCAGAGTTTATTGCTCTGCATTAATTGCACATGTAGATGTGCCCAAGGATCAGGCTATTTGGTTCAGTTATCATTTGAAAAGTGCTTTGAGACATGGAGATAAAGTCCTAGAAAAGACAGAAAATATTATCTGACCAGCAATTAACTCATTGCCATTTTATTTTCAAAGCAGTGCAAGACAGTTTTGCTGACCGTTCTTATTTTAGTCACTTTACGAGAGTGTTCTAGTGTGCTCAATTAAGAGCAAGCTGGAATGGGTCCTACTATAGCAAACATCTCATGTAGTAGACCTCCTGGCCATGCTATTCTAGTCATAATACTGTACATTTAATTGATCTGTTTGTAAATATTTGGAAATTTGCTTCTGACCACTAAAATAGCGGGTTTCTTTTACATCTGACAGTCTCCAACAAATGTTTCTTTCACATCTGATGGGTCCTTATCAAAGCACAGTTAAATGACACACCATTTTTGAATAAACAGGACAAACAGAGGAAAAGGTTGGATGTATTTTTTTCAATTGACATCTGTACAAATTAAACTATTAAATAAATCAGGGTAATAGAAAATAAGAACACTTATGGCTAAATTCACACACCATCTTGTTCCAGCTTCTGCCAGCATGGACCCTGGAAACATGTATCTTGTAATAAAAAAGTCTTACCTGTCTGATCACTATGAATATGATCTGGTTCAGCAGAACCCAACATCTGTATGGTGGCTCTGTGTGAAACAAGTTCAATCTCAGTATCTGATGTGTTCATAAAAAAAAAAGAGTCGTTAGATCAGAAACTTTTCTTGACAGACTCAGCTAACAATCAAAGTAATGAACAGGTTAGGGAGAGACAGCTATTAGTGGTCTCTACATCAGAGTACAGTAGTGACTGGAATAGAGGCCCATTGGCGTTGCGGCATTGGGAGAGTGCACTGATTCATGTTACATTGTGCAGTCATTTTTTTTTCTTTTCAATCTTGGCTAGGTTCAAATTACTGACACGTGCCAGGGTATTTCCTTAGTATAATAAGTCACTTCTATAATAATGGGAAGTTTTCCCATTGTTGAGGTCTTCACCATTTTCAAACTTTTTCTCTTTGTGAGAAAAAGTTCTCACAAAGAGATAAAGTTTGTTCTGTTTCTGATGGCTTAATGACTTTTCAGTTTGCCACCTGCAGTTCAGGACACTCTGGGCATCTCTACATGAGACATTTACTGTGGAATATGCTCCACAGTAAATGTTGTGGTATCAGCACATGCAGGGCTATTAGCTGGAGTGAACTAATAATAGTAGTACTTGTAAATACAAGTACTGTCCTGCTGTGGAGTTTTTTACTGCACAGCAATGTGTGTGTAGGCACTGATCTGGCTGGCTGAGGCATGAAGGTGATTCAATGTGGGGGCTGCCTGCCAGTTAGCCCTACTCTGAAGCACCCTTGTACCCTCTGCGGCTTGTTGAACCACGTTGGAGCAGCCTTGGACTTGCAGGCTGACCCCCCAGGCTCCCTGTCAGCTGGGACTGCTCCAACCTGGCTCAATGTGCTGTGCTCCCAGGCACATGTGTAAACGCAGTGCCTGTGAGCAATAGACTCTAGCCCTGTAAGCACTGGTGTTTATTTATCACATTAAGATACTGGGTAGGCGTGCCCTCGGTCTGGTAAGGCAACTGAAGGCAGCTTGAGAGAAACCATGGAATTTACCCTTTATTACAGCTTGGACAATCTGGGGATTTTTCCTTTCTGGTGTATACCTAATGCTTAGATCTCAGCTCAGCTGTTGCAGAGAGGATTTTCAGTCAATTCTATAGGACAATGTAATTGGGAAATGTATCCATGAGGTACACAGTGTAATACGTGAGAGCTAATCTAATCTAGCAGTTATCATCACTTTTGAGGGCAGATGAGATTAGATCAAAGAGAAAGGTCATAATAACAGAGCTCAATCATCATTGCTGTTTACACACAGTGCTCACTGTTTAATTGCTAGATACTGGAAATACAGGAATAGGAGCTACCATGAAGTTGATGGGATTGTAAGTATTTAGGCCCGTTGCAATTGGTTTTCTTATGGAAATACAGGAGTGTTTACAGTTGAATCCACGCTTGGCTCTGCACCTCTGTGTTTTGCATTGAGGGTCATGTACCACCTTTGATCTGCAATGAAACTTCCATTAACATTAGTGAGAGCTATGGGAATTTTGCTAATTCCAGTACTTAGACTCAATCTGTGACCTGATATAAAACCTGGGAATGATAATAAGAAGCAAAGAGCATAATTGTATTATTTGATAGTATTTTCGTTATTTTTTTTCAATAACTTGAATAAGATTTTAGCATTTTTGCTCCAGAAAGCGATTTTGTCCGATCTCATAGAACTCTGTTCAATAATCAGAGGGATACATCTTCTAGATTTATATGCTGAAGTCCACACAGATAAATGCTGGCTTGCAAGCTGAGCTCCCTTGATTCAAGTTAGATAAAGGGTCATCTGGGTGTATTTACAAAAATATTAACAATGAGCCACAAACAAATCATTGGACAGAAATGTTGCCTGTTGTCTTACCTTGTTAGGAAACCATTTGTAGAGAAGACGATTTTAGCATAAGAACCAAATCCCTGGGTATTTTAAAGTAATGACCAGTCATTAGAAGCAGGAATGTGGGATATGATGTTATTCCTAGCTCTGACCTGACTATTTGGCTGTCAAAAATACTCTCAGAGCTTTGCTTGGTTTCAGTTTCTTGTCTGTGATTCATAGTTGCCTGCTACAGCTGGGTTAATCAATACACTGCAGTTTATTTTTAGAGCCAGTAACAGGTTGACCTCAAGGAAGGAACAAGTTCCTCTTGGCCCCACACTAGCTCTGAGGACGAGTTTGTAGAACTATGGGCTACACTTCTTCAGCACTATGGCCCCAACCCCACAACATTGCCATCCTTGTTTTGCTATTAATAAAGCCCCATATTTTTCAGAAGTGCCACTAATTGTGAGTGCATGTCACAATATTTGGGACATGCACTCACAGTTAGGGCAACCCAGTAGATACATGTTCCAATGAAAGGAAACACCTGTGTGATCCCAGCTACTTTTGTGATAGTTGTGATCCCATTAATTTTGGGTGCCCAGTTTTGGACAGCTGGGACTTGATTATCAGAGGTGCTGTACTCTGTGGCAGGATCCATCTCTCCCACCCATTCTGTAGCTGGGGCAATTTACCACAGGCCACAACAGATGGAGGAAGGTCAGAGCAACCCAGTAGTGATCTGAATTCAAACGTCGGTGTCCTGCCCACTCTCCATCAGTCTTTCCCCATCCTAGGTTCTTCCGTATTTTATGCTTATTTTACCAAACCATTTCCTTCTTCCCCAACACCCACCCACTCACCCACCTCTTTTTCTTTTTTTAATTGCGGGACATGTAAGATACTGTATTCTTTCCAAAGTAACCTATTTGCAGTTTCTTCCCTGGACTGCATCAGCTGACATGACACAGCCCCAGAGCGACATGGCATAAAAGAAGGGAGATTATCACACGCTCTCTCTCCCCCTTTGCAGTGTCTCCTGAGCATCTACAGCTACGAGGTTGGCATGTACCACTTTTCAGTTGCTTTTGTCTTTAACCTTTACTGCTTGCATAGCTGGGACTTGAACAGATCACTGCATCCTTGTGCTAATTACTGTTTAATAATTAGTGCCCATCAAAATCCTGTCTTTCAACTGCCACTCATTTTGTTCTGGGCTTGCCAAGTAACTTCACCTTTCCCTAGCCACAGCCACTGCATTTGAGGGTCAAAGAGTGAGCATTTCTTAATTTTGCATCCAGTTTATTTGCCAGCTTGTACTTTAACTCCTTCGTTGGCTTCAGTTTGATTCCTTTTGCTAAGAGATGCAAATAGATTTCAAGGGCATTGTGAAGCAGGGAAGCACAATCCTGGTAAATAGAGTCCTGCAGTTTCTGCTGTTATCTGGATGATCATAGTTTAAAGCAGTCCGAAGAGGACGGTATTCAGATAGGCCAGTGCACCGGCAAGAGAGGCTCATTCTAGTTTTAGATGCAGTGATAAACTGTTTTTGGCACCTAACTTGCAAGGAGAAGGATTATTCCCTCACCTTCTTTAGATCGTGTTTAGCCTGTGCATAAAAACGAGAATTACCAGGATTCGACATCTCATCTGTTCACCCCTGCAATGATGGGGAGTGCCTGTGTAGTTCCCCATATTCCACAGAAACACACTTCATTCAGACTTCTCCTTGTCACCCAACCTAGGTACCCCTAAATGATAATGTGTGACTTTCGCCGGAGTCTACCCTGCACTGCTGGACTGTGAAACACACCATGCTTCTGCTGAGACTTAAATGCAGTGGTTCCTGGCTAGAGGGTCTTGCCCCTCCACTCAGGGTCAGACTGATCACCCTCTTCTGTAGTAGGGGGCATGGCCTTCTTCCTTAGACTTCTCAAACGTATTTTAACAACCTTTGCAGCAGCAGGATGTTGGCCACGGTGGTCCCCCTGCATTACCTCTGTGGCAGATTAGGGTGTTATGACTTGTGGTTGTGTCAGGGTTGACTGTGTGGACATTAGCCAATGGATTTGTATGGGACGATCCTGCCTTAGGCAGCAGGTCGGACTAGATGACCTCTGGAGGTCCCTTCCAGCCCCACTTCTCTATGATTCTAGGACATGATAGCTGGTCTTATCTTGCAGGATACACAAGCAGCAGGAACAGGCTGAGTGACAGTCAAATCATTGGCCTGGCCAGATTTTTCCATATATGTGTCAGCCAGCACAGTTGAGGCTGGTGTTTTAACACTATGCTGCACAATGTATGCCGTAGCTACTTATTAATCAATGTAGATGCCGCAGGTCAGGATCTGCTGTTGCTGTGGGGTTTGAGGCTATTCCCCCATTGGAGCAGTGCCTGGCAGGGGAGTTTGAACGGTGCCTGCCCACACAGGCCTTACGCTAAACAGCACAGTCAGCACCTCACTTTTATTGACACTAAAACTCCATACATTCCTCTATGGGCAAATTAACAAATGTTTTCCTCTCTCCCTTTCATCCTCCTTCCAATCATTTTTCCCTTCTCTGGAATAACTGCACTGGAACTGGTCACCTGAGGACTTCTTCACAGCTGCACAGAATTCACAAGAACCCTCGCCCACAGCCAAGTCCTTCCCTGGCCAATGACAAACACATAGGAGGAACTGTAAATAACACCGGTGCTATCAGTTAAGTATATCTCTAGGAGCAATAAAAACCACATTCCACCTGAGGAGCAATGCTTTGAAGCTGTTATGACAGCAACCTGAACCAGTCAGACTTGAGCCTGGATTTCCCTGTTGGCCTGAGAGGTAGCCCTTCCAGTTCAGGACCGAGGCAGCCCTGTATATTAGCAGCCTATGGGGGAGGCTCATACTAAATTGCTGCCTGTGCTGTACCTGTTCTGTGAATAAAAAGTACTTGGAGATTCGCATCTGTCTGTAGAGCCTCTTTCACCTGCACTTAAAACTATGCAGCTGTTGTACCAAGTGAGAGCTTGCAGCAGGCTTTACCAACGGGGCTCTAAAAGAGCCTGAAAATAAAGGCCTGGAAGTGTCTCAGAACCAGTGCTGTTTGAGTACTGCTTAATAACAATGTAAAACCAGCAGGTGCTCAATATGGGCTTCAGAGCATCTTGCTCCCCTCTTTTGCACCTCCTTGTTTCAACTGTGGGATTTTGTATTTAGTGCTAAACCTATCTTTAGGCCTTCTTTCCCGCTGTTCTGGTCTTACAGTTGGCTAAGAGTTCAGCCTGAAAAGACTAGCAAGCTTCAGATAAAAATCTAACATCCGCCACCTACTTTCTTGTTGTTAGTATCCTCCTCTGGATCTGAGCCCCTTGATTTGGCCCATAATACAGTGTGCAACATTTTGGGATTTAGGTCATATTGGAACATGCTTAACTTCACACACAGGACATGAAGGGTCTCTCCCGTGCCTCAAATTACCACTGTAAGCATACCCTGACCTCTTGCTTTGCGTCCACCAACACTTGAAAACCAGGCCATGTAACTACCATAGAGTGACTCGAAGCCCGTGTCCACAGCCCTTTGAGGCTCTTTGTCTCTGATGTGCTTATTGGCACACGTTCATGGCTGCACTTCTGTAGATACATTGCCTCCTTCCTGGTGCTGGTGGAGTGAGGGCAAGCGAGGGGTGTGCGCTTCACAGTGGTATTCCTGGGACGTAACTCCACGGTCACCTTCACCAGTTTCAAGAATGGGGGTTGCTGCATGGCGAAACCCCTGGTAGGGCTGCCAGTCAGAGCAAAGGATTGGGTGGAGAAAGGGCCAGCACCATGTGAACAGCAGAGCTCTGATCATACAAAATAAGAGTGATAAAGCTGTACCTCAAGATGCTGTCTGCCCAGTAGTGATACTGTACTGCTTTAAAGCAAGAGGATAGATGGGATGCATGCTGCAGCTGCTGAAGGAAGCAGGAAATTATATAGGAGGCCTGTGCCCTGCTATAAATATTGGCAATTGTGAAATCAAGTGCCCTTTATGCCACACAGGCATGATGACTCAGCACATACCTCCTTTCCTCAACCCAGTAGGACATTCTTTCTCCTCTGGCATTAGATAACATTAGAGAGAGAGAGGAAGTGAATCCCTGGCAATCCCAGCCTGTTCTCCCAGAAAGGCATGGACCCCCCCGCCCCACCTGGGCAACAAACATGTACTTGTATAATCCTAATCTTTTCTGCAACGTTTGTTCTCACATTAGCATCAACAAACAGGCACTGACCTTGCCTGTTGTTGCTTTAAATGCCCTGTTACACTGCAAGCATGGGAATGAGCTAGTCACATGGAAAGTACTTAGTCTCACATGGACTGTTCATGTGCAAAGAGGAAAAAAAACCCCCACTCTCACAAATACAATAATCTCTGCAGGAATCTCGCTCTCCCCCTCTCTAGTGATGAAATAGAGGCCAGGTTTTTGCTTTAAGGCAGAATCCTATCACGGTTTCAAGTCATTTAAAAAACACAGGCCAATCAATACTTCATGCTTCTTTATAGCTGCAGTATTAACATTGTCACATTGGTATAACTGGCACTGAAAAATCCTTCCTTTCACAGGCAACACTCAGATGCCAGGGCACAGGTTACAAGAATTTAGGTAACTAAATAAAGCTCTGGCAGGAAGCCAGGTCCAGAAAATGGGTAGCACAGTTGTACCCCCCACACCCCACCTTGTCTCTGCAGGGCCAGACTATTGATGGGTTGTTGGTACCCCTGGGATTCACAAAAATGCAAGGAAAGGATAGGAGTCTTGGGCTCTCCTCCTCTGCTGTGTGCACTCAGCACAGGCACAAGGGAAAGCAGATCTAATATGTGTGGTTTGTGGCCTCTGCTCCATGTTTCTGCCTGTGGAACAGCCAAATAGATGGCAATCGATTCCCACTTCAGCAGGGAATCCTGGAAACTTTGGAAGCTTGGTGAGCACAGGCTGGCTGCCTTTGCAGCATGTGCTTAATCAAATGTCCCTCATTTACACAAACCTGTGCTCTTTTATGCATCAAAACTACTGCATTAACTCATTGGGCAATTTCTCCAGTGTATGGGGGAGGTCAGGGCATGAGAAAAGCCGATACAGCCTTTCTGCAACAATTCCTCCCCTCCAGAGGAAAATGAAGAATAAGCATTATTGCAGAGGCATCACAAGGCACAGGGCAGCAGTGACACATGGAGGCGCAGAGAGGCAGCAATGACTTCTGGCTGT